TTACATCATCTGAATTGTGTTGTGATAGGGTATTGCTTTTAACATGTACAAAACCTGTATGTTCTGCAACAGGTATTTTACCTGTATTCGTAGCAAAAATTTCAGACTCTTCAAATATTTGTAGAGTAGAATTTGAGCTAACAATTATATGATTAGTAGTTGCTTCTATCAGTTTTCTTTTATCTTTTTCAGACTGGACAGGTGTGTCAGACCTGTAATATCTACCAACCAGCATATCCTCTTCTAAGTGTCTGCTTACAGGAGAATCCAAATCTCGACTTCTTGCCGCACGACTACGAACTTTTCTCTTAAAACCCTTGTCACAATTTTACTTAATTTGTAAACAAGCAGAGAACTTGTATAAAAGACACCAAAATAATGCAAATTAACAGTATTATACACCTGGTGAGGATGCTGAGATTTCTTATTATTGATTTTTTTAATTGAATCAAGGATCAAGTAAAAATGTAAATATAAGTAATAACTGTCTGGCTTTTTAGTTTCATGATAATTTATGAAAATTATCAGGCGAGCAAATTGATTGATCACATCATAAAACCAAAAAACTAGACAGTTATTCCTTAATTCAAGAACTCCATTAAAAGTTTATGAATTTATTCACAGGGCACAGAAACAAAATAATACTGTTCAACTTTCGCAAAATCTCTGGTGTTTCATAAACTAATAAAAACCTCTATAACTGTAGTCTTCTCCAGCAATAAATAATTCATGTGCAAGTTTAACTCTCTTAGACCTATCAAAAATTCTGGTAATCTTATATACGAGGGCGGTTCAAAAATTACGCGGACTCTGCTATTATTTACTCTTACAGACGTCATATAGAATTGAAATTTCACAGGAACATATTTCTTAAAAATTCCAATAAATTCTTGGTAAAAGTGTTTGATTTTATTTAATATCTTATAAAATTATTGCTGTTTTGATACTGCTGATGGTGATATACGGAGCACGGCAAAAATGTTGAAAAACAAACATACGGAATCCAAAATTTTATTCATTTATTTTCCATATTTCACAATATTATTCAACAATTTTCTCTAAAATTTCTTTTTATTGTTTTATTATTAAGTATTTAGATTTCTGGCTTAATATTTGAAGTACTAACAGAAATATTGTATTTTTTCTCCGATGTGACCCCTACGAAATCAACTGCAAAAATGACGTCTCGTGATTTGACGGAGCAGCGCACTTTTATCAAATCATGAATCATGCTGGGAAAACGCGAATAGAGACCCAGAATAATCCTAATAAAACATGTAGTTAACCAGCGGAATATCCGACACATCTCTACAAAATATAAGAAAGAATTTTAGACTGATAGACCTTAGTCAGAAGGCAATCTGAATGGAAGAATGAATGGAAGAAGTTCATTGACAAAACACTGATCTGGGCTGTTAAGAATGTGATTGAGATCGACTGATGTCAAACTTTACTTCAGAAATATCTGCAGTTTTGGGGTTTAACACAAACTAAAACACACAATGATAGTTTTATAGTTTTTAAGCTGAATCGGAAATGGTATATGGATGTTTATTCTGAGTGGATAAGGAACCAAAACTATACAGTATCAAATACTAAGGAAAAATTTGAGAAAATAAAAGTTCCCATTTTTCAAAATGCCCGTGACGTTGAAAGTTTTACTGCGCCGTGACTTCATGAGATGTCCTGTTAAATAACTTGAAATTGATACAAATTTACAATATTTTGATATGAAATTTTGATGATCATATATGAAAAGATTCTTTTATTTTATTTATGACTTTTTGCTTGATTATGTCGTCAAATATATTTTCTGTGCTACAAGTTCGCGTAATTTTTGAACGGCCCTCGTATGACTGTAGTATATATAATCCAAAACTGAAATCTATTTAAAAACCATTGATATACTGGTAAATGAATATTTTTCATTCTCTGAATAAAGTTTTTTCTCCACACCACTTAATATTATCAAACTATTAACCCAAACATCTAAATTAAACACACACCTTGTTACAGTGTTGTAGTCTACTGTTCAAAAGCTGCAACTCCGCGTTCTTACTATAGAAACAACGATACGTTAACAAATCAGAAACAACGCGAATCTGATCAATCAACCAATCACAGGCGATACACGATACCCCAATTCCCACGGCAACTAAAAAGTGTGCACATGTTTCACCAGAAAATAGGAAAAAGTAAAATATTTTATCTCATACATGTGGTGGATACTACCCATAAGATAAACCTATGCTTTATCCACGGATGTGCTTTCAATCTCCTTTTCAGAGTTATCGTTCGTTTCTCCCTCACAGTATAACCAGATGGTACAGAGTGGTGTGCTTTATCAATAGCACTTTCGGTTTTGTCACAACACAACCCCTCGCTTCAAGATGTAAATTTATCGAAACTTGCATTATCAAATGAATGATAATGAGCAAAAATATTGTTATAAAAAGAAAGATTCGTTTTACCTCAATGAAATGTCTTCTTTTTTTTTACTGGCTACTGCGATAACGGATGTTACCCCTCCCCCTCCCCCTCCCTTTCGATCGATGTCATAGGAAACGTTACGCTGAGCAGTGAAGTTGTTAGTGCAAGATTCATTTGACCATGCAGGAAAGTCTAGTCACTTTCAACAACACTTTCTCACATTATACTATATAACTTACCATCTACAAGTAGCCTAGCACTGTCGTAGTGCACAAAATTATTTCAAAATAGGATTCATGATTCCTCGGTCCTTACAACACAGTACAACTTCCAGTCAAAAGTGTGTATTAAAATGAATCTCCATCAAATTGTCACATATGTTTTAAAAGACGCAACAGATATCATTAAGATTTCATATTTTGTATCTACAGATAACTTTCTTTTCGGCATTTCAACGTCAACAGTGCGATGCCATCAAGCGTCATCGATTTGGGTAGAAATCAATCAACAGGGGTCATCTCAAAATTTTTAAAAAATGAAAATCGTTTGAAATAAATAGAACATCTATAATTGTGTGTTTGAACGATTAGTGCTTCAGTTTTCATATTTCACCTGTATATTTCTTGTGAGAAGGCCTTTCCTAAGGCACCATCAATTTTGACCATTTGACCTTGACCTTGATGTTTAACTTACTTTTGAAAAACTTTAACCTTTTCTATATCTATTCCATGGTTGCTGCTAGGGTTTTCATATTTCACAGGTATATTCCTCAAGACAAGACCTTACTTTGGGTACCAACATATTTCATTTGCATTTGAGAAAGTTTAACCTTTGCTATGAGTTGGCATACGGGGGCATCAGTGTTTCACAAACACATCTTGTTTAGAAAATACATTATTTACAAGGATGGGAGTTTCTTTTTAGGACTTTACTATTATTGGATAAATGCATGTGGTTGAAAACTACATGTTGGATTAGATTTCTTATTTAGACTTGTCACCTGATGTGGTAGTCACGTGATTTGAGCAAATATACCTGAAGTATTGAGGTCATCTATAAATTCTAATATTGCAAGAGCATAACCAAGTTAAAAATCTAAGTTTAATATATAATTATTTTCTACACTCTTTGTAGTTTGTGAAAAGTGCTGCGAACCTATATGGATTCTACTATCTAATTGCAAAAATTACATTTGTTAAACATATGTTGAATATTTTGCTGGTCAAGTACATTAAATATAATATAATATAAATATCGCAGCACTTTTCAAATATCTCCATACTTCTTCAGTTTATGTGTAAAAGCTTGTCATAATTCAATGAGGGTATGCCCTTGCAATATATAGATTTATTACGACCCTTCTATTACCCTTCAATGAATCTGCATACAAATATACGACATCTACGCTTGTTTAGGAAATGTACGGAAAGTATATGAATAAAATCATAAAATAGACATTGCATCCAAGTTAATGGCCTCTTATAGATCTAAAATTTATATTTTATTTAATTACAAAATACATTTTTCATTGTATAAATATAACTTGATCCGCCTCTCACTGCATACAAACTGCGTCAATTTTTACGATATGACGTCACATCGACAAGTGCATTGCGATCAGGGAATTGTTTATATATTGCTGTGTGGGAATTAACCAACGACAATAATGCATGCACTAGTTAGTATCTATGTAGTTTAAAGCTATTCAACAGTTTGAAATAGCAGATCATTTAATTTTGTGATAATTTGAAGAACCTATATTTTTGTGTGATGTCATAAATTAGGCCCCGCCTCCTTACTGCAGCCTTAACTGTGCTGCGTATACACCATTTCAACTCGTTGGATAAAGCAAATATCAAATCACACAATAGATATCCTCTATATAACTACTTTATAAAGTAAACTTTCGTGATAATTAAAGAATATTTACACAAATGAATCAAATAAATCGCCGCTTACAACTTTTGACATATTGAAAATGCAGTATGGGAAATCGCACTTCCAGATTAACAACCATGCGGCATACCAGGTAACAACTAACCGAATAATTATAGCTATATAAACACCGTTTTAATTATGTGATCATGTGCATGTAAACAATATATGAAACACTATAGAAAAGAATTTTTTTAACACTTTAACAACATTAAGGTCTTAAACTACACATCGCCTGACATCAAACGGGGGTCATATCAAAAACACAATTTGAAAAAAAAATGTATTCAAAAAATATTGTTAAAACATATGATTATAATTAGCACTGTCACTACATTTGCCACAATTTCCAAGCCCGATCTTTGTTTGAGCTGGTGCGGACCCCCCCTTCTCTCTCTCTCTCTCTCTCTCTCTCTCTCTCTCAGAATAAAATGTTAAATTTTAATACCGCGTGATCTTATTTTTTTTTTTTAAATTGAAACGCTTCCTTAAACTTAATTTGAAATTCATATATGTCATCCTCTACTTCTCTATGAAAAAGTACGAATTCAGTGTGGAGTGATTTAAAAAAAATCATTTCCTCATATAAAATGAGCGGGCTTTTTGCTCTGCTGCACAGTGAATGATAACAAAGTAATCAGCAAAAATATTCTTGTTTAACATTTAACTTTGTATCTATAACAAAACATGAAACTACGACTGTCCAAGGTTGGTAGACGTTTGCTGTACTTGACTGTGTTTGCCTTTGGTTTCGCCTTCTTGGCCGTTCAGTGGAAAAGTTCGGATCAAACTCACGTCAATGACGAGCTATTTTATAGCATTCTGCACTTCTTTGATTCCTTTTCACCACTGTACATTGAACATAAGGATATAAAAACTTATGACGATTATGATAATATGCAGCTGCCTTTTTATTTTCAAAAGAAAAGACTTGTTCCAAATATTGACTGTCGTCGACTTTTTGACCACGACAGGATGGAAATTGAGAAAGCAGCTCAATTAAATAAAAATGTCGTCGGGTCAGGTTTGTCTTTTCAGGAGCTAACAAAAGACTGCACCAGATTCAGAGAAGATAGAGGATATATCATGGATTCTTTAACAGACGAGGAAAAACGTTTCCCTATAGCGTACACCATTCTACTGTTCAAGAGCCCGTGGCAATTTGAAATTCTATTACGAGCAATTTACCGGCCGCAAAACTTTTATTGTGTTCACATTGATAAAAAAGCATCAAACGACATTTTCGACGAAATTGCAAGCATAATCAGATGTTTTCCAAATGTGTTTTTGGCTCCTGAGAGGATTAAGGTGGAATGGGGGACGATAAGTGTTCTGACACCCGAAATACAGTGCATGGAAGCTTTGCTTAAACATAAGTGGAAATATTTTATAAATTTGACAGGTCAAGAATTTCCCCTCCGTACAAACTACGAATTGGTGAGGATACTGACAATTTTTAATGGTTCAAATGAAGCAGAGGGCTTGATGAATTGGTAAGGTTTTGAAATTGTTTACCCATCTGTAATGATTTAGTCTTTTGGTTAATAACGTAGTGCTCAAATCAAACAAAGCATGTTCATTAAAGTTTCAAAGAACCGAAACAAGACATTGAAATCTTTTCGCTTATTCCTGCAAACAAAACAAAAATTGCAGAACATGTATTATTAGAATTGGGGAAAACAGTAAAAAGGAATGTACGTTCAACATATTATTTCAAGGAGCTTGACACTTTCTTCTACAGTAACTGTGATTTGGTATTATGTTTCAATATTTTTGAAGATTCCAATAATTATTCCTTTGGCACATTATTTTAAATATATTTTAATCAAATATTTAAAAGTCTTACATGCAACAACAAATTTATTGAATTTGGATTTGATGCATTGAAAACAAAACAAAAATTTAAAAATTTATAAAAACAATATTCAACACAATTTTCCTTTAACCTAATAAACATTGATAGATTATGCACCCAGATGTCTGTACTGATTTTTACGATTTTATTTCGATCGAACCATAATTTAAAAACCAATACAAAATAATTAAAATCAAAATGCATCTACTCGAAATCAAATCGTCCATTTTTTGTTAATTTTTTTTTACCTCAAAGGAATGCAGACGTTGAGCGGCGCTGGTCATCTGCGGGGACGCCACCACACAATATCCATCTTATTAAAGGGGCAGTCCACGTGACCCTTAATAGAGAAACAGTAGAATATATGGTTAATAATCCAATAGCAAAAGAGTTCTTGAAATATTTACATAAAACAGAGATTCCAGATGAAGTCTTCTTTGCTTCTCTGACTCATAATCCTCATCTTGGAGTACCTGGATTTTTTAAAGGTTTGTACATATACGATTCATTTGACTATTATTTAATTTTATATTTGATATACTTCTTTTTGAATCAAATTAAGTATTCCTTTGAATCATAAAGAGTGAAATATCAATCTGAAAATAAAAAGGGCAATTGAATATTTATGATTTTTTAGTTCATTGTAAAGCATTCTTAGCTTTACGTGCAGGTTGGTGCATAGTTCTTGTGCTTTTCCAAGTTATATCAGCGACTTGCAATCTGTGTAAACGCTTTTATAAAATATAGCCTACAGCTAAAACACTTTAAAACAATTTTAAGAAGTTTGATTTTTTTTTTTTCAAACAACCAAGTTTGTTTAAGGGGAAAAGTCATTGTTTGACATCAGAAACTTTATTGCTAGTGCTCTCGAGCGCCAGCAACTGAGTCATTATCAAAATCTGCCAAATTTTTGGTCACAAGGCAATTAAAAAAGTATAGGAAGTAAAAACTATATAATTTTTTACTTTACTATTTTGAATACATTATTCTGTAGTTGGCAGAATACTAATATTGCTGCTGTATGATATATTTAGAGAAAAAATGCATTTAGAAATGTACATATAAGCATATTTTGCGATGTCCTACTCCTTTGCATTGAATTTACAAGCGTTTTATAGCCAAATCCAGTTAATTTTTTTTCTCATTTTTTTCCTTGTATGCCTTAAACTATATATTGACATATGCCATACAAACACTAAAAATTTTTAAATATGCTTGTCTTATTACATGTAAATATCAAGACTAAAATGTGTGTCTCTCCTGTTACGCTAATGAAAAAACAGAAAATAGAAATATTTCGACTGAACCTTTCTGGGTTCCATACTTATTATCAGCCTCAGTTTCATTTACATGAAACCAAGTTGTTGATGCCATTCATTCAAATTTGAAGAGTTTGAAGAAAATGTCCAAAATATAAGTATGATTTACTCAGTAGAAAAAAAACGTCATTACTGTTACATTGAAAATAAGCATTAACATTTGAATTAAGAAATTGTAACTTTTCTTACAAAATAACTTTAAAATTTTGTTTCAAAACTACTGCATCATCAGCTTGTATGGTAATCAATCAGGAAAATAAAGAACCAAATATAGAGTAATTGTCTATCCTGTTATTGTCCATCCTGTTACGTGTAAATTGTAACAGTAAAGACAATTTTTGTAACAGGAAAGACTAACATTACATAAAATGAGGATTTGAGACCTATCTTATCATTAATCTAGCAATTAATTTTCATACAGTTTTTAATAAAGTAGTATGTAAAAGGAATACACCCTGAGTGAGGATTCATTGGTTTAGATATGTATGTTAAAACATAAAATGTTATTTTGTAACAGGAAAGCCATAACATATTGTAACAGTATGGACAAATTTTCTTAAAATCAGAAAAAATGTGGTCTTTTATTAATTTGTCAGATTTAATATTATTTTCATTCAATTTTTTGATCTTTTTTCAATAATAAAAAAAAATTCTCTATATAAATAAAGGAATTCTAAATATAAGTTTGTAACAGGAAAGACAGGGATTGTTATAGAATGGACAATCTATGAGATTTTTTTTCTTTGAAGCACATATATACCATTTAAATAATCTTTGAAGAAAAAACGGTTTCTTTTTAAGAATCATTTTTCGCCTTTTTAATATCAGTTTAATATGATTTAATAAATATATTGATACATATTTAATTCAGTGTAACAGGAAGGACACAATAAATTATGTTACTTAGGCAGTATATGTTTCCATCCCTAAACAAAAGTTTTACCCAGTTTTCAGGGATTTTCCACTGTCCTGTGTAGGGCGGAATTTAGGCCCCATTCCCAATTGCAAAAACTTTCCAATCAGTGATATAATGTCATTAAATTCCCAATTCCACGGGCCTAGCCAGGCCCCATTCCAAAAATAAAGTGAAAATCCCTGGATTTATCAAACAGAAAGACTTAAATTTGCTAGAAAAATACATACACTATTTAAGAACTAATACTTCAAATACAGTATCAGTGATAAATGTCATTAAATTCCCAATTCCAAGGGCCTAGCTAGTCCCCATTCCCAAAATATAGTGGAAAATCCCTGGGTTTATCAAAAAGACTTAAATTTGCTAGAAAAATACATACACTATTTAAAAACTAATATTTTAGATACAGTATTTAGTAAAAACATTGGAAAATGCAAGTTTTCTTCTGAGATAAGTAAAAAAAAAAACAGACAAAAGATAGATACTCTCCAAATCCATTTTTTTAATTTTATATGGAAGTTTAATCTTTTTAAAACTCTAAAAATAGTCTTTCCTGTTACTTCATTGTATGTTGTAAAAGCTAATATTTGCATAAGCAAGCACTTCTCTAAAATAATGTAAATCCTGTTTTTTTTTTTTTTTTTTTTTTTTTTTTTTTTTTTTTTTTTGTATTGTACATGTAATTCAGTTATAATTCACATTATATTAAATTTACATGTAACATTTTTTTTTTACTATTTACAAGGTTGTGTAATTAGGAAAAGTCTCTCCTGTTACAGTCGTCAATATTTATTATTTTTGTTCTCTATTTGTCCATATCTTAAACTTGTACTTAAGGTATTACTATTAATTGGAGACACCGGTGTTAATTTTCAGGATTTTCTAAAGTCAGTGTGTAACAAAATGAATAATTTGATTTAGATACACAAAAATTTCTATCCTGTTGCATGTTCTGTTCTTTCCTGTTATACTTTTTAACTACTAGATCGAAAAAAAACTTTTACTGTCATATTTTTATGGACTTTTTTTTTTAGATTTATCTATATTTTTGTAGTATATCAACAGATTTCAGACTATGAAATTGATGCAATATTTACTTTCCAATTATTTCTAAACCAGAATTAGGATTCTATAACAGGAGAGACATGTCTTTTGCAAAATACTGTCTTTCCTGTTATGGGTCTGTCTTTCCTGTTACATGCACAATAATTACAAAAATATGTTGTTTATATATGATTATATAAAGATTGGAACTACATGTATATCTAAAATACCATTCCCTATCAAATGTGTGCATGCTGTTTTTCATACTTACTTTTACGACTGTAAAATGTTGAAAATATTGAACAAAATGTTGTTCAGTTTTGAAAATTGTCTCTAAAAACATTGTAAAAATTACGTTGCTCCTGTTTCATTGAAAAAATATTACTGATTCTTTACTTGTCATGCTTTCACAATCTAGTTTGAACAAATTTTATAATTATTTTTGCACCTCTAACAGTGAAACTTGTATTATTTTATCGTAACAGGAAGGACAAAATTTTAGGAGAACCAGTTCTTTGATCTCTTGTAACTCTGAAATCAAATAATTTCTAGGTAGGAGTTTAGTGTTTTTGTGTTCTTCAGATATGTGTTTCTCTGAACAATTAAAAAAATTACTTTTCAACACAAAAAATTTGTTGATTTTCCTGAGATTTTATTTCTGTGGTTTTTGATAATGACTCATCTACGTTAGTCTTTTTTACTGGAATACGCATGCTCGACTTCACGATAGGGCATTTTGCAATACTACTGTAGATAAACTGTACCATGCCATTTTTTTTTATCATCTAAACATACATATGATCTGAAGTTTAGTGTTTTGTTGACTAACCTGTCATAAATGTACAAAAGCAACAGTAACTTATACCTTATAATGCCAAGATGCCAAGACCAATCATTTCTAAACTTCTAACGAATACATGTATCTAGCTCTTCTAAACTACATGTACCTTCCTGGATCTTTCCGATGAATATTGAATATTGATCCGCTTTGAAAATTGACCCGTGTTTCATTTTTGAACCGGGGGTGCTTTTTCACCTTTGAAAATTGAGACCAAAAGTCGTGAAATTTATACCCGGGGTTATTTTTCAACAGCGTGGTATTTTTTTTCCCAAATCCTTAATGACTTCTTCTGACCCCAATTCCAAAGCTTTTGACTGTCTTCGAACTGGAAGTTGTTTTGCGGGGATTATCTATGTCTATTCATTAATATTTCAGTTTCAAAATTTTCCTTTTTACCACAATAAAAGACATAAGCATGTCAGTCTGAGTGTATATGTACGTTGTTGATCAGTAAACGATTTAACTTATTTTCATGCATAACAACCTTACTTTTGAAACCAATTTCTAAATTTCAAAGCATCTATAAAAAATACAAATCTGTGAATAGGGTATAAAACACAGACCCCTTGAAATTCCAGAACTTGGATCAAGTGCCTAGGAAGTAGTAAGCATCCCTTGTCACACCCTCCGTGAGCCCTAATTATTGACCAGGTAGACATAACATTTTGTAGTCAAATTCAGTATAACAACAAGAAAAACTAACAATTTGAATGAAACACGTCGGTCAAAATAGATCCAATAAAAGGTTATTTCTAATTAAAGGTCAATAAAGCGATCATAAAATTTATTTAATGCTGACTTTAAACAAAGTTGATGAAATCCCTGTAATACTAAATTATCTGTCAGTAGCCTGCTTCAGCTTAAAACATGATCGAACATGTCCTCGAATAAATTGGGATATGTAAATACCATATACAGGTGATAGCGGAATATTACTTCACAAAGAAGGAAAGTTGACGATGGAAAAGATGAAGATTATAGTGGAATATTTCTGCTCCCTGTTTAAAAGTTATTCTTTCGTAGATTATTTCCACATCCAAGATAATTTTATGAACATGCACTATGAATATGTCAACATGCAACATAAATATCATGACATGCAACATAAATATTATCGACTAAGAATTTGGAATTAAAAAAAAATATATCAAAAAAAAAACGCCTGTATGTGACTTCCAGTATGCTAGACGCAACTTATTTATGTTGACATGCAACTAATTTATGTTACAATGCGAAAAAAATGTTGACATGCAACATATTTATGTTGAATGCAGTTTATATATGTTGACACGCAAGATAATCATGTCGGCATGCAACGTATTTATGTTGACATATACAATTTTTGTGGAAACCGAATGAAACTTTTGCGGAAAAGTAAAGGATTAATTTTCTCCAAATGTGCCGAAATGTCCCTTAGAATACGTTCCGTAATTCACCCGTCGCGGTGAGTGGAACTCAGGTTATTTCAAAATCATGGATGTGTTGGAAATATAACGTAAGTCCTAAACAAATATCTTAGAGCACCATCAGCATTACAAAAGAGTAACAACTGAACTCGAACTTCTGTGTAGAGAATATTAAAAATAATATGAAAAACAATGCTTTTTAAGAACAATCGGGTATAAATTTGGTGCCCGGATGAACATTGTTGTTCTGGCATAAAATGTATATCCGAGGCAGTTGTATTAGAAACTTTCATTTAAAAATATACGTGTTGTACATTTATGTAGTAATATGAACTAGAGTTTTGTGTTATATTTGTGCAAAATTTTCTTAATAATAAGTTGCATGTCGACATATTTTTCTCGCATGTTCACATAAATAAGCTGCATGCCAATATATATAAGTTGCATGTTGACATAAATATTTGCATGTAAACATTTATCTTGCATGTTAACATAAATTAGTAACATCCCTACATAAATAAGTATCTTGCATGTTGGAAGTCACAGGCGATATTTTATAATTTTGGAAAAAATTTCAAATTCTTAACTGATTTCATTTATCTCCGGATTCATGATCAAAATTCCACGACCTGACTCAATTTTCAACGGACTAGGGTCTAAATTCAACACCTATAGTCTCAATTTCAACGTTGAAAAATGACCCCCCGAGTAAATTTTCAACTCGGGTCAAAATTCTACCTTACATCGGCAAGCAACTTTGGATATGTTTTCCGAGCTTGCCGGAAAGCCCCCCCCCCCCCCCCAAAAAAAAAGGTGATTGCTACAAAACAGTACGACTCTGAAATATTTTTTTTAAACTGGGTTCTCATTTGAACGACTGATCTTTTATTTTTCAACTCACAATTGAAATTACAGTATTAAACTACAGAATTCTTTAAAGGCAGAAATTTTTTTTTTACCGAGTGGTAAATTCCAGGTGGGGAGGGGGGCTTATTTTGTACTGATATAAATGCCTTGAGCGTTAGCAGTCTACCTGTGGTCGTTTGTCTCCTAATCCCTATACACAGAAAATGATTTAATACACAATAAAATGACCAAGAAGTCGAACTTCGCCTGAGTTCGGGATTTTGAGACGATTTTGAATTAGAAGTAAAAAAATTGTAAACAAAAATCATCTCAATAATTTATATCAACTTGTGTTTGAATATGTGTCAAAACGTATATATATATATATATATATATATATATATATATATATATATATATATATATATATATATATATATATATATATATATATATATATATATATATATATATATATATATTATCGAAAGTATTTGTTGAGCTCCAATTACGGTCATATTTAGAGTTACATCCCGTTTGTATCTAAAATTCGGACAGACGCCTGCTTCCAGAGCGTTGAAAATATTCAAAATCATTTTAAACATCTAATACTATTAATTTACATATTAAGGGGGAACAGGACCTTGAGCTGAAAAAGATCTAGTCAATGATTTTTTTTCATATTTTGTATTTTTAATTTAGTATGTCCTAAAGTAATTCTGTCATCACTTATCTTGACTTGTTTAAGAGATATCGACATAAAAATATTGCTCCGTACAGTGTCTGTATTAAGGTTTGGTTCTTAGTGTTTACGGGTCCATTATTGAGTCTATAATGGGAATTTTTAAACATAAACAAAAAATATGTATAAGGACATGCAGCTCTTCAAATATTCAGAATATAAATAGTGTTTAGAATTCTTACGGAAATTTTTTTCATATTTCACAATGTGTTTTGACTGGATAAATTACGCACTTTTCAAGACGGCTTCAACGACAAAAAACGCATTTGGGAAAAAATTCTGTCAATAAATATTTTAAGATTTACGATTGAACTGAGGTCCTTCTTCGCAGTAATAATTTGTATCAATATCGTAAGGTTAAGCTTACCTCATTATCACACAGGACACAGTGGAACAAGACATAAGCGTGATAAAAACGCTTCATGTTTACGTTTTCCGAGTACAGGAAAACAACTGTGACGTCATTTGAAAACTTACACAAGCGAAATGGAACATTAATTCATATAATCTCTGCTACCAAATATTATTATTGTAATTCCTGCTTCAAAAAATTTATCACGATGCATTGACGGTAATCTGTTTTAATGTTTTAAAACTGACCAGGTAATCAACGTGTACTTGATCTCGCTGCACTGAGATATCATATATGACGTCACGGACATGTTAAGACTGCAGCGTAAAGAAACAGAGGTGTGGATCAATCGATTTCACATTTTTTTTATATTTACATGATCGTTCAAAATTCTTAGATATTTTACAGAAAATGTTTAAGCTCAATAAGTTGAACAAAAATTATACAAATACAGGTGATTATAACAACGTTTAACACCAACATTAACGGTGACTATGACGTAGTTAATTGAGTCATGTGACATGTGTCCTGTCTCCCCTTAAAACTAAGAGAATGTAGATGTGAATATACTCATAATTCATTAGATTTATCATAACGTTTGTCGACATGTCTAAACATGCTTAAAAAAGTGTTGCCTACAAATTCTTCTCAGAATTACGAAGCAAAATATCAGTGACCTATGTATGATTAGAAAAATTTCTAAATTCAATTATATGATATTTTATAATTTAGCATAATAAAATTAATATGAACATCTTAATTCAAGTTTGAATACAGAATCATTTATACTGTTAATGAAATTCACTTTGGAAAAAAAGTTATTATAGCAAAGTTTGATATAATATCATGAAGAATATTATAATGATATCAAATACCAAGAATATATAATTATATATGAAGAATATTATAATGATATCAAATACCAAGAATATATAATTATATATTTATTTTTTTAAGCTAAAATATTTTTCTAGTTATACAGCTTCTTTATACCATATGCGGTAAATATCAAAGGATCTAAAGTTAATTTGAAGGTCGCCACGAGTGCCAAACAAGTGTACAGGGTATACACAGACACTTTATAGTAAATAAAATGTCGATCAATCAAGATCTAGCGCCAAATGATGAAACTTAATGCACTTGTTTGGTATTGGTACACAGACCAGGTAATTTTGTAGGCGGTGCTTAAAATCTCTGCCTTTAAGCTCAATTAATGAGTTTAGCCATTGCCAATGTGAATCCCTCTCTAGATTCACCATTCTGAATTGAGACCCCTTCCTCCAAACACCACCCCAGGTGCACCAATGTGCTTTAAATGATAAATAATTGATTCAGCAAATCAAACCAATGGTTCAGATATATCGACTTCTGTGTTTTATGATGGCCACCCGCTAGTTCACCAGATAAGCTTGTCACCTCACATTCTACCTGTAAATTTTATTTGTATTAGTTTATCAGTGCAATAAATCACACTTGAAGAAAACAATTTAATGTGAATGCCTGTATTTTTCATGAGGCATATTTCAAATTGTCACAACGTATTCCAAGGTATTGATTTTAATCATTGACTAGATATAAAAAAAAATAGGATATAAGGAATTTACAAAAAGTGTACTATGTACATGTAATGGTTTTACAAAACGTATTGTTTCAAGTCTTTGTTTTGAAATGAAAAAAGAATAGCTGTTAACAATACACATCCTTCAATCTAGTAATGAATCAGTCAACAAAAGAACAACACCTACGATAACATTGTTTTATGTACATGTAGTTAAAATGGCATATGTGGGTCCAGAATCATGGAACCCTAGCTCTCTATTGATCAGGAATTTGTTTGATGACCGTGGCATTTGATTAACAATAATGATAATATTGATCAATTTGATAGGACACATGGAGAAAGATCAATCTGATTTTGCAGTAACAAAGCCGTATCTGTCTCGCTACAAGGTTTGGAGGAATACACGCTGTTCTTGCCATGGTCAGTTCGTCAGGAGTGTTTGCATATTTGGAGTCGGTGATCTTCCGGTCTTAGCACTACGCCCTGAGTTTTTTGCCAATAAGTTTTATATTGACTACCAACCATATACCTTGAGATGTATGGATGAATTAATTTTTAATAGAACAAAAGACGAATATTACCGACGATTGGAATTCAAAACGGATTATTACCAAAAATTACAGTATATAAAGAATATTGTATAAGACGATGGGATTCAAAAAGATCTTATAATCCAATAGCTCTGCTTGATTTGTCAATTTCAAGTCCTTCAAAAGTTTGCAAAGAGCTATATGCGGTATAAGCATATTTCTGCCGAAATGAACGCAAAATTTTGAAAATCTCTAGAAATGTATATAATTGTATATATTGTGTGAAAATCTGAATCAATAAAAATATAATAGTTTGGAAGAAGATCATTGACAATTTTTGTTTATGGGACGTCACAAACTATGGATCTTCTGTTATTTTTAAGAAAGAGGACAAAATGGACAATATTTGTCCAATTTGATAGAATTTTTATAGAATTTACAGAGCGCAAGTCTGCTCCAGTACAATATTCACATATTTGATTGATTTTATAGCTGCATGTCATCATTATATTAAAAGAATGAGTTGGAGCAAATCTTCTCTGTATGATTTTTAATCAAAATATTCACATAAAATACACTTTTTGCTCTCAGACTCATTGAAATGTAGAAATTACGCCATCTTCTTTACGTCATATCTAACATATGTCATATCTAACATATGATGTCATGGCTATTGAAAATAAGTAATGCTTTGAAGTCTGCAGGTACCCACAGGAACATAAATAGTCTTCACCATCAAAGTTTGATTTTCGGGGCAGATACCGGTCTTTATGGTATACAGTCCTTTATCTGAAATGTTTTCAAAATTTAATTTTAAAAAAGCTGTACTAAATCCAGTTAGATTATATTTTTGGAATGAATTAAGTCGCGTTCTTTTAACCACACCTACTCTTTGATATAGAGTGTATGATTGTGTTTCTTTAATGAAGCAGCAAAAAATCAGTGAATCTTTTTCATTAAAAAATAAAACCAGCCAAAGCAATTTTAATTTCTAGTGTTTTGTATTGAAAACTTTGATATGAAAGTCTCAAAACTTTCTGACCCATTTATTTTGCTATTTGAATTCATATTAAAAAAACGAAAACCCCAAAATATTACAAATATTTAATTTAATCAGTATTTTATTATGTAAAGTCAATTTACATAATTGGATTGGACATCAGGCATGGCCTATGTAAGTCCTCTCCAAGAAAGTCAGGGTTATAAATTTTAAGAATTGACAATGATTTACAATCATGATGAAATAATTCATAATACATGTAAGTTACATTAATTTCTTAGAGTTATTACTTAGCATGTATACTCACTATACAATATAATGAAAAGAAAATAAAGGAGTGCAAACAAGCAACAAAATAGAATAAGTAAACAAATAAGGTGCAAAAGACAAATATGCAAGGAAAAAAACCCAAAAAGAGAAGAAAATAATAATAATAAAAGATAAATAAATCTGGAATAAGCAAAAACAATGGATAAAAAAAAATAAAAAAAGAACTAAAGTGCAAAACACAAATATTCAAGGAAAAAATACAACATATGTACATGGAAATGCTAATATTATGAATATTAGGAAATTAATGTTAAAACTTAAATATGAAATAATATCAAAATCGCTTTGAAAATTTGATGTATAATTGGACTGCTTCAAAAATTGAACAATTAGTTTTATCAGGTGATTGCCTATCACCAAATAGCAAAGTATTCAAAATTTGATTAGGAGCAAGAGTTTTTAATTCTATTATACTCTGAAGACTGTCAAAAAGTATCAGCCTCTGATTACTATAGGCAGGGCATCCTAAGAAAAACTGATAATTATCCTCTTTCAGATATCCGCACTTAGTACAAGATGCCATTTCACTTAAATACTGATTATACTGGTGAGCATTTAGATTACTAGATTCATTTCTTAGTTGACAATGTATAATGTTTTCCCTGCGATTACCATAATTAAAGATCTTGACACCCTTTATTCTATCTACAGTAGGTTTCTTTAGGATATTCTTAAAACTTGAATAAGGTTCAATACATTTTGTTTCTTATGGTAAATTGTTCCATAATTGAATAGTAGAAGGCAGAAAACTGTTGAAATATGAGACTGTCCTTGCTTGGGGTATGACAAAATTAAAATTACCAATATTTCTAAGATTGTAACCATGATCTGGTGGCATAAAAGGTAGGACCATTTCTTGCAAATAGAGAGGGGCTATGCCATACACAATTTTATAAAATAACAAGAGTTTTTGTCTTTCCCTTATATTATTTAATTGTGTCCAACCTAATTCTTAATACAGAGCATTTCTGGATGAATTTTTCCTAAGTCCTGTTATTATTCGGGCTGCTTCTATTTGAATATTTTCTAAAAGATTTGAAAGTTCCTGTGAGCAATTATCCCAGACAATGCTACCATATTCTAAAATGTGTCGAATAAAAGCAAAATAGACTTTTATTAATGCACTCCTATCTAGCAAATGTTTCAACATTCTTAAAAGATTTAGCAAGAACAAGCCTTTTCATATAAATTACAGTTTAGAACAGTGTGTTCTAGATTCATTAATAATACTACCATTAAACCCAAAATGGACTGGGGGATGGTCATTTGAACTTCTTGAAAAATTTAAATTACAGGTTTTGGTTGGGTTAAAATCCACAGCCCATGTTGAAGCCCATTTATTAATTTCATCTAAGTCAGACGTAAGTGATATTACTGCTGCATTAACATCATTATCTACAGCTATAAACAGTGATGTGTCATCTGCAAATAGTCTTGTATTATTAACTAGAATATCAGTTATGTCATTAATATACAGGAGTAATAAGAAAGGACCCAGAACAGAACCCTGAGAACCACCTGCAGATATAGGTTTAAAATTTGAATAGAACCTATTTAAGACCACTCTTTGAACTCTATCATCTAAATAATTTTCAATCCATTTTAATAATGTACCTTGAATACCATAAGATTCTAATTTAAAAAGTAGACCTTTATGCCAAACTTTATCAAAAGTTTTTGAAATATCACAGAAGATAAATCTAACATCTTTACCTTTATCTAGGGTTGATATAATTGTATTATAAATGTCCACTAATTGGTTGATAGTTGAGTCATTTGGTGGAATCCTGACTGGTATTAAGATATTGTTTTCTAATATAAAATTGTACAAATATTTAAAAGTATTTTTTCCCATAATCTTGCAAGAGTTACTAGTTAGTGCAATTGGCCTATAGTTATTAACTAAGTCAGGACTACCTTTACCCTTAAAAACTGGGGTAATATTAGCTTGCTTCCATACATTTGGTAAACGTTTTAATTCAAACGACTTATTAAAAAGTTTTACTAGTGGTTTACAGATAGAGGAGGATAATTGTTTAAGAATCTTTGGTGTTATACCATCTGGACCAGGGGGTTTGCTTACATTTAAATTATTCAATTGATCAGCCACATCTTGTTCAGTGACAACTATGTTTTCAATGGTTACTATGGGAGGACCAGGACCATGCTCAAGCAAGGTTTTACTTTCATCAACACTAGAAACATTTGAGTAAAAATTATTAAATGCTTCTGCCTTTTCTAATGGATGAAGTAAAATTTGACCATTTGATTTTAAGGGAGACATAGGTTTATGTTTGTTTGAAAGTTTTGCAATTGATTTTGTAATTCGCCACCATTTACCTGGTGGAATATTTTTATTAAGTATTTGAGATGTAAGTTTTTGCTTATACTTTTCTTTGGCATTTCTAACCATAGAACTTACCTCATTTCGCAATTCTCTGAAACGACGCCATAGGTTTGGGCAATCTTTATGCTTTGCTTTTTTGTGTATACGATTTTGTTGCCTTATTCTTAGACGTATACAATATTCATGAATGGTTTATCTCGTGGCCTCATTGTGACTACCTTTTTAGGTATATGTTTATCCAAGATAGCATCATACGTGTGAAAGAAATTATCAAATATTTCATTTATGTTTGAGGAATTAAAGACTGTGGGGTCCCAGTTGACTTTGTTAAGATTATTTCTAATATTTTTAAAATTATCATCATCATAGTTTCTTATGGTGCGTTTATAATCATATTGTTTGAAAGTTTTGTATTTTATATCAAAACTAACAGGTGAATGTGTACTACAGAATGGAGATGTTACATACACATAAATCCAATACTTAGATTATTGGTGAAAACTAAATTTCTACAAGTACCAGGAGTAGATGTAAAATTTGTTCGTTCAATAATCAGGTTTAATAATTTTCTTTGTACCATACATTGTTTAAAAAATATTGTTTCCACTGCTCAACATATCAATGTTAAAATCACCTATAAGAAATACTGGCATGGACTCATTTGATACTATATCTAGTGAATCAGAAAGTAGGAGACAGTGGAATTAGGTGGTCGACATATTAAACCAAGTAAAATTTTCTTATTATCTTGCATATGTATTTCACACCATAGAAGCTAAATGTCAGTAATATTGAGATCATCTCTTCTGATAAAATGCAAGTCTAGGGAAATATAAAACAGTATTCAACCCCCAAACCTATTACGATCCTTTCTAATGGGAGGATGAAAACCATGAAACATGATTTCATCATTGGATATATTATTATCAAGGTGAGTTTCAGTAATACCAATAATATCATATTCAGACAACTCAATGTAAACCACATCAACTTTGTTAAATAAACTACATACATTATTATGGACTATGCTTAAATTTCGAGTTCTAAAATTATTTGTTATTGGTCCAAAGTTTGCTTCTAAATTATCCATTATGAGTAAAAAAAAAAAAAAAAAAAAAAAAAAAAAAAAAAAAACACACAATACTAAAGTATAATAATGAGAATTATTGAACACATTTAAAAATGCAGATATATGTGATTCAACGTTGAGCCATGTGAACTTCAAGTCAGAGTAGTTACATGTAAGTGATAGAGAATCTGGAATATATGAATAATTCGGGAGACTCTGGTTTTTAACACATAAAAGAAAAGCAATCATGTGTATCATAAGTTATCAATTGAATAATTGGCAAAAGTAAATGAGTCTCACCACATGGTTCACACAGAATGTTGACTTGTTCAAAATAAATATAGATTTTGAAGGGATCAACAATTTCTGAAGCAGTAAACATTTTTTTCCGTATTTTGCCAACTTGGAAGACATACATATATTTGTAACAAGAATTCCATAATAATTTTATAAAATTATACTCAGCATTTTTAGTGCAAAATAATTACAGCTGCCTTATGTGGAAAATACGAAAGCCCAGAAGGCTCATTCGAGATTCGAGTTTCGAAATACGAGATTCGAAATTCGAGATTCGAGTTTCG